TTTTCATTAATTATAAAATTTGGTCCTGTATTATTAAGTTTTCAAAATTATTTTCTCTTTACAACTGTGAATAATTTATGGCTAATAGTGACATACCCTCATACAGAATCATTTTTTCTTTTCTCATCTGATAGAAATTTAGCTATAACACCTTATTCGCCAAAGCAAAATTAAACCCATTGTAATGCAGAAAATGAATTGTAGTGATTCACATGTGTATGCTTCATATCAAATGACAACACAATTCACAAAATTTCTGTATTCTCTAAAAAACTCAGACATAGAGGCCGGATAGTGACTGGTTGGTTGAAGCACTGAATGCCATATGGCCGACCGTGGTTCCAGTCACAAACCAGGGGACTTGAAGATCATGTGGGTGTGTGTGCATGCATACCCAAAATCCCAAGAGGAGAGTGAGTGAGAAAGAATTGTAGTGTGGCCATGCCCCCTGGGGGGTGATTTCTCACTTTCTTTATTGCTGTCTCTCAGGCAAGCCCTGAACCTTATGGCAAAAACTTCAAAAAAGAAACAGAGAAGAAATTCAGATTTAAAGAGTGGGTAGAGAAAAAAATTTCTCAATCAAAGACAGTTTTGTTATAATTAACCTTGATAGAATACTCTGCAGAACTAACCAAATTCTGCACATTTCATAATTAAACTTATTGTAAAGAGTCAACTTTATTAACATAATTTATCTCTCATTGATTAGTCTTGTAAAATGAATATTAACATTATGTATCTATAGGTCAGTAGATTATAGCAAATCATTGGAGGAAATTGTTGAGAGAGCTAGAATTCTAGCATCCTCTTCCAATGCTTTGTCCACTCATGTTTGCATGTCAGAACTTAAGTTTTCCATTCACTTTAGGCGTAATATTATTTGATAGTAAAGCACCTAAGACTTCCATAACAAATGAATTATTCGGCGCAATTGTTTTAGAAATGACATGACATTTGTGCATAAATATTTCATCTTCCATATGATTCTGGCCATGAGTGCCATGACCATTTGCCCCAACATCTTATCATTGTCTCCTTATCTGCGGCATAGAAATTGTGTTCTCTTCTCTCTCTCTCTCTCTCTCTCTCTCCTCTCTCTATAAGTAATAATTTGTATTTCCCTGATTCCCTGTTCATATTGTCTAATTTTTTGTAGTAATATGAACTTTAACTTTATTAATAACTTCAGGTTTCTTCCGTGAGATTTTAACATGAAGAATGTCACTGAAGTTATCATGTTTATACTGAAGGGCTTCATAAATGACCTTGAACTGCAGATGATTCTCTTCTTCCTGTTCTTAGCAATCTAGCTCTTTATCCTTTTGGGGAATGTAGGACTGGTTGTATTGATCATTGGGGATTCCAGGCTCCACAACCCCATGTACTGCTTTCTGAGTGTGCTGTCTTCTATGGATGCCTGCCATTCTTCAGTTATTACTCCCAACATGTTAGCAGATTTTACGTAAGAGACAAAAGTCATTTTGTTCCATGGCTGTGTACCACAGATGTTTCTTGCCATTACTTTTGGGACCACGGAATGCTTTCTCTTTGTTGCCATGGTCTATGATCGCTATGTGGCTATCTACAACCCTCTCCTGTGTTCAGTGAGCATGTCACTCAGGGTCTATTCACCATTCATCATTGAATGATTGATGGAATCAGGAATCTTGCAGAAATTTTACATGGTACTATACATATGGATTCATTTTCAGCCTTGCTTTCTGTTCATCAATGTCATCAGACAATTCTTTTGTGACATCCCTTCTCTCCCTGCTATTTCTTGTTTCAACACTCACAGAAACTAGCTTCTATTCTACTTTGTGGGATCTACTGAAATTGTCACTATCCTGATATTGCTCGTCCCCTATGGTTTCATTCTGTTGGATATTCTGAAGATGCACTCTGCTGAAGGGAGGTGAAAAGTCTTCTCTACATGTGGTCCTTATCTAACTGGAGTGTCCATTTATCATGGAACAATCTTCTTCATGTTTCTCAGACCGACTTCAAACTACGCTTTGGAGTATGACACAATAGTGTCAATATTTTACACATTGTGATTTCCATGCTAAATCCTATCATCTACAGTTTGAGAAACAAAGATGGCAAAGAGGCAATACAAAGATTGTTTGGGGGTCAGGTGGTATTTCAGTGTTAATACAACTAGACCCACATGGGACATATCCAGAGTTTATATTTGAGGCACTCCATGAGCACATTGGGCTTGCATGTGCCTGGAGTCTAACTGGTTGAGAATGTTTGTTAATCATAGCATGAAAACCATGTTAAGTGTGACTATCTCTCTGTCTCTCTATCTTTTTTTTGTGTATGCCTATATTATGGAATAAATAAAATAATAAACTTAAAATGTTGGAAGGCATAAAAGCATGGAGAATAATGGTCTGGGATAAAATCAAGTTCCTGTACCTGATCATGTCCACATGAGTGAACTCATCAAAATAATTAAAAGCTGCCTAAAGCTAAATGTTAATCAAGGCTTCTTCCTTCGGGTGAGTGAACGCAGCATGGTGATCATGTTCACATCCATCTCCAAAGTATACAAAAATGAAAAGGATGAAGATGGATTACTCTATATGGTCGATGCCTTTCAGGAGACATTAGGAATGAAACCATCAGTGTTAAACTAGAAAAATACAGCTGTTCTAAATTTTTAAACCCTTACCAATGAAAAAAGGGAAATACCATCTGATATTGATCTGTTCATCTAGTCATACATCATCACAACAGTACTGTTGCCACCTAGGAGTTTTAGGAAGCCCTCAACTGATCATTATAGGGATTATTCTCACCAACTCTCCCTTCTGCATGCATCTGTCCACATGGCTAAATTTTAATATGTATTACATGATGTAAATTGTTTTGAGATTTTTGCTCACATGTGCTTGCCAGAGATACAGAGGGAAAG